AATTTTCAAGTTCTTTGAGAACAATTTGTTTAGAACTATTTTGTCTAAATTCAGCTTTAGCATTATTAAAACTCAAAATATTACTATCTATCCAGGTAGCTTTATAAATTTTACTAAATCCACCTTCAGCAATAATTTCAATATTCTTAAATTGATTATAAGGAATAAACTCTATTTTTTCAGATAACTCAGTTATGTTAGAATTAATTTGCGTATATCTAATAAAATCATCTACAACTTTATTGTTGCTTTTGTATAATAAATGTATATATTGATTATTTTCAGTCCAGTTGAATATATTTATATTTGAAATTATCATAAAATCTTTCATATTAGGGTCTTGAGTTATTCCATAACACTTTTGATTATTAATTTGCTAAATTTTAAAATGTATAAACAAATATTAAAAAAATATTAAGTTAATAATTCAGAATATATATATTAAAAAAAAGTTAATACATACAATATTTAACTCTTCAGAAATAATGTTATTAAAATTATTAAGTTTTTTAAGAAGAGCTTGTGTAGATCCGTTTCGATCAAAGTTTAACTTATTTATATTCCAACGAAGAATATAACCATCAGTCCAAGTAGTTTTATAAATTTTACTAAATTCATTTTCAACACAAAATTTTATATCAATAAGTTGATTATAGGGAATATACTCAATCAAGATGTCATTACTATATTTTTGCATATTTCTAATAAAATCATTTACAACATTATTTTTGTTTTTGTATAATAAGCGATCCATTATATACTGCTTATATTCTGTCCAATTGAATATATTTGTATTTGAAATTATCATAAAATCTTTTGTAATAGGTTTGAGTTATTCCGTAATACCCTTGACCATTAAAAATTTGCTAAATTTTTCAAAATGTATTAACAAAAGTTAAGTTAATAATACTGAAAACATTATTTCTGAAGAGATAAATAAGGTATGTATTTCCTTTCTATTAAATATATAATTAAGTCTTTTAAGAACAACTTGTGTAAATCCGTTTCGATCAAAATTTACCCTATACATATTTCAACGTAGAATATAACCATCGATCCAAGTAGCTTTATAAATTTTACTAAATTCGTTGTCGACGCAAAATTTTATATCCTTGAATTGATGATAAGGAATAAACTCAATACCATTGTTATTTATTTGCCTATCTCTAATAAAATCATCAACCATTTTACTTCCACTTGTCTTATATAATCTGTAACAATATTGGCAAACCTCATGATTTTCAACTCGTTTTCTCCTTTTTTTACATCGGGGACATTTCTTATATGTATTTCCTTTCAATTTTGGTTTATCTTTGTTTTGTGCTGATTGAACTATAAGTGTGCCATTTGTTGTATAATTAGCTATATGTTCCATGATATAACAATTTTATTTATTTTTTATTTTTTTAAAACTTAGGTTTTGCCCATTATTTATCCATGACGATCACGCCTGATTATTTGATTTACAATTCTAAGAATTCTGCAAGCTCTGAATCATTGTCCGAATAGGCATTAATGTCCGAAATGATCATTTCGGATATCAGATAGATCATAAAATATACGATATATAAATATGTAAACTTTATTCTATTTACTCTCTTACACGTCACGTAATCTCATTTCACATATTTTTTCTGCTTTCACGTACACTTTCCCAACAATGTATGATATATGGATTAAATACAAAAATTTCCAATCGATTAAAATTTCTTTCGGCGGAAAAGACGTGAATGACTTGATAAAACAAATTAAGGAGGACCTAAAACCCGACTTTGATAATGTGGATGTTAACCGTATTATCTTACAAAAAGGCAGTAAAGTTGTTAATCCAGTTCATATTGTGGATGAGGACTTCGACACTACCTTTTAAGCACCTCTTGTGGTTAACATTATCGAGACCACCGGTACTAATTTGCTTACGACAGATCCGGCAATTCTTACTAGATTGAATAAATTAGAGGCAAACCAAGAAAAATTAGAGGCAGTGCATAAAATTAGTGGCAGGTCAAAAAAAGATAATTGCAAAGTTGAAAAAGGCCAAGTCTTATGGAATGGTATTATGCCCGAGATAATCAACAATTTCTAACTGTCACAGAAAAGCCATGGCTTCCCTTTAATATTAGGGGCACAACGGATCTTGCAATATTAAATGTTGACTTTTCAAAGGCTATGGCCAAGAAGCAAATGGAGCTCGAGTGCTATTTGAACTGAAAAAGCTAGGAACCATAGGCGCACCAGAAAGGTATCAAGCTTAGGTAGTGCTGATTTTGGCCAATTATTGGTCCAAATATGATGTGCTAGCAGTCCTGACTGACCTCAATGATTATTGGAAGTTTATTTGGGAATACGGCAACGAAATTTGTATTTCCTTTGTATCTCGAGATTTAGCAATTAAAATTATTCAAGATCATGTTAATCAAGAAAGTAAAAACGTGCATCAAAGAATTGGTGAATTTGATGATGATTATCCACTTTTTAAAAGAAAAAAATTGGATACATCTACGATTTCGCAGATGAGATGGCCGAAATGGAATTGAAGCAGAAAAACATTGAACGTTATTTACGAGATATGTATATTCCCTCGCCACATTTCTTATATTAAATATAATAACCAGACAGTTTTATTTTGATAATATAACTAGATGTATATTTGCATAGTATGCTTCTTCTTGCGTTTTTCGTCATTT